GGAGGGGACCGAGGGTGGGGAAGGATGGTCAGGGAAAGTTTCCCCCACATCCAGAAGTCACACCAGAAAGGACATCTAAAGGAACAGTAGAAGATACCAGGCACATGAGAGTAAGGGCTAGAACAGAACAGCTTCCGGCGGAGGAAGAGTATACACAAAGGCCTGCTGGCAGGAGGAGGCCTGCAGAAACGCAAACAGCAGCCCAGTACAGAGGTGCAGAGTGAGAAGAAGAGCCTGTGGTATGAGGCTGGGCAGGCGGGCAAAGCCAGACCACCCAGGGCTTTGCCTGTTCTTTAGAAACTATCTGAAGAGTGACCGGGCGCAGTGGCTCAAGCCTGTAATCCCAGCACTTTGGGAGGCCGAAACAGGCAGATCACGAGGTAAGGAGATCGAGACCATCCTGGCTACCCCAGTGAAACCACGTCTCTACTAAAAAATACAAAAAACTAGCCAGGTGAGGTGGCGGGCGCCTGTAGTCCCAGCTACTCGGGAGGCTGATGCAGGAGAATGGCGTAAACCCAGGAGGCAGAGCTTGCAGTGAGCTGAGGTTGCGCCACTGAACTCCAGCCTGGGTGACAGAGCGAGACTCCATCTCAAAAAAAAAAACAAACAAACAAAAAAAAACTATCTGAAGAGCAGCTGTAGAGAGTTAAGCTGGGATAGGATGATCATTCAGTCAAAGCATACTTGCTGAGCACTGATATGCCAGGTACTTCCCAGGGACCCAGGAATCAGGAATGGAGAAAACAAACAAAAATCCTGGTCTTCACGGAGTTTACACTCTGATGGGAGAAGCCAGATAGTAAACAAGTACATTACATACTATATGCTAAGGAGGAAAAAGACATGAGAGGTTCCAGGCTGAGGAGATGTGCTAGGGACAAGGGGAAGCGGTTGTCTATTTATTCAGGGTAGGTTAAGGAAGGCTTTATTGATAAGATGACATCTGAACAGAGACCTGAAGGAGGTGAGCAATTTGGCTGTATAGACTACCAGGAGAACAATACTGCAGCCAGATAAAATACACGTGCAAAGGCCCTGGGGCAAGGGCTTGCTTAGTGTCCTGCAGGAGCTAGCACAGAGGCCAATGTTAACAGTCTATGAAACAGAAACAGAGAGCCAGTTCATATAAGGTGACTGTAACAACACTGTCTTTTACCCTTGAGATAGGAAGGTTTGAGAGGTTTTGTGCAGAAGAGGAATGTAATCTGGCTTCTCTTTAAAAACGATCCCTCTAGATGTGCTGAAAATTGACTAGGGCCCAGGGGATGAACCAGTTGGGAGGTTATGGCTAATAATCTGGACTACAGTGGCTCAGACCAAGTGATAGTAAAAGTGGTCAGAATCTACACAGAACTTAAAACAAATTTACAAGAAAAAGGAAAGAGAAAAGGCCAAAGACACAAATTAGGAAGTAGTGTAAAGATGTATTCAAAGCCATGAGACAGACAGAATGAGATCAGCAGAAGTTGACAGAGAGGAGGTCTGACGACTGAGAACTGGGCCACTCTAATGTTAATAGGTGGGGAGAGGAAGAGAAACAACCAAAGGGGACTGAAGATGAATGGCTGGTGTCGTCACAGTGTAGTCACTGTAGATGAAAGGCCAGGGTAGATTTGTTGTGAAGAGACTCCTTTGACTGCAGCATGTAAAATGGATTGAGCAGGGGCATGAGTTGACATAGGAAGACCAGGGTAGAAAGCTGCAAAAATGACTTCACAAAGGCCTGAGATCTGGGCCTCTTGAAGGATTTCTGCCTGAGAGGCTGTCCATCTCTCAGATAGAATTCAAAAATGCCCGTAAGAACAGCAAAGGCAGGCTTTTCAAATATTAGGATACATCCAGGAGAAACCTGGGGACTCCAGGAGCACCCTCCTCTCACGGGAAGATGCTGCACTGCCTTATGTTTTGCATGAACACAACCTTCAGATTCCTATCCTTTGCAATTTAATAAATGTCACTTCTTTCAACTGGGTCTCTATCAATCACAGTGTGTGTGTGTGTGTGTGTCTGTGTGTGTCACACACAGAGAGAGAGAGACAGACAGAGGAGAGTCTTGCTCTGTTGCCCAGCCGGAGTGCAGTGGTGCAACCACAGTTTCTGGGCTCAAGCGAGCCTCCCATTTCAGCCTCCCGAGTAAATGGGGCTACAAATGCATGCCACTCTACCAAGCTAGTTTTTTTATTTTATTGTACAGATAGAGTCTCATTATGTTGTACAGGCTGGTCTTGAACTCCTGGGCTCAAGCAGTCCTCCCAGGTTGGCCTCCCAAAGTGCTGGGATTACAGGCATAAGCCACCATACCTGGCCCTTGTGATGTTTTGATAGTTATGCAGAAATTAAACTGCAGTGGTCCAGGTGAGTAAAGATGGTAAGGAGGATGTGGGTGACAGAAAAAAGGCCATAAGAAAGAGGATAAATTAAAGAAATACTTGAGGAGTAAAACTGTCAGGGCTTGTGAATGGACTGGGATATAGAAAAGGGAGATAGAGAGAGGCATCCAAGATGCCTCCTAGATTTCTGACATGCAACACTGAATGGGTGGTGCCACCGTTCAATTAGGGAATATTGGACGAGGACCCAGGCAGGAGACTATAAATTCGGTCTTACATGTGTTGAGACATTGAGAAGGCAGCTAGGGCTGGAACTCAGAAGGCAGAGAGAACTGAAGAGATCAGTTTAGAAGTCATCTGCCAGTAAGATGAAACTGATGACATATATTGAAAGGACTGGTAGCAGAGATTAAAAAGAGAACATGGCCTAAGAATGAGTGTTTTAGATATGGACTGTTTATTAGCCATAAGACTAAGATGTGTCTGCAAAGCAGGCTGAGAAAGAGTAGCTAAAGAGGTAAGAGGAAACCCAGGAAAGTGCACCGTGACAGAAGCCAACAAAGCTTGTATTTCAAGGAGGAGGGAGCATCCATGTTAATGCTGATGAGAGTTGGTATCTGTTAGAATCTGCGTTTAGCTTATTCTTTGTCTTTGTCTTGCCCGCAGATCTGCTGGTCCTGATGATTTCTACCAAAGCATTCTGTGAATATAATTCAAAAAGCCTTCACATAATTTTATCATTTGTCAACACCATTCTAATAAGCTAGTCAAAAACTTTCTAATATTAAGACAGCAGGGCTGTTAGATTCATTTTGGATAAAACTACACTTCTGGCATTGCAGTGATTTTGGAAAGAACACAACTAGAGTCTCTCATCTAGTCCTAGTTTTACCTTTCTCTAGATCATGGGCAGGACTCATGCCTTTCTGAGTTTTGGTTTTTGTTCAATGCTGGGGGTAGGGGAGTGGGGTGGGAGGAGAAATGTATGCAGTGAGCAGGTGGGAAACAATAAACTTCCCATCTCTGTAAGATCCTAGAGTTCACAATTAATTTTGTAGGAATACCAGGGGAAACGTGTGTATTTAAAGCAAACATTTTCAAAAGTGGCCTCTATAGGGCCCTAAGACAAATTACTACTTCAAACTATTTAGTTGGTTTGGCGATTTCTCAGGCCAACCAGATACTCTGACACGTATGAAGTGTCAGAGGATACTGAACATGCAATTTATTGTTTTTCTAATGAACAGTGAGATACTAGACAATAGTTCATTTCTCAAAAATGTTCACATTTTCTTATGAATTTAATATTATCATGAAAAACTCTTTCTTGTCCACCTAAAAACAGTTAACTTTAAATGGTAATCAAACTGTTAATATAAAAAAGAGTACTGTTGATTCCTCAGCACTTATGATGGAACTCAAGAGATACTCATTAAGTGAATGAATGCTAGGCTTAGAAATTCCACTGAAAAATGACATCTAAACAGCCAAGTCACCATATTCTCTCTAGTTCCAATATTTATGTCTCGCATAAACTATTTCCAGGGCTCACAGTTACAAAGATAAAATCCAATTCTATTCAAAGCAGAACACACATAAAAACCGTAGAGATGCAAAGTTTGAAAGACTTGTTATCTGCTTCAACATAATAAAGACAGACTGCACTAAGTATCTTGTAGTGTACCAATATTTTTCTTTGCCCAATAAAGTATTTGCTTTCTCAATGTCCAATCCTCAAGAGACTTCTCAAAGGTTACTCCTTGTGCCTTAAGAGATTATCATGACCTCCTTCTGGACGTTTTGTTCACTATTTCAGGATATTACTGACTGGTTTTACAGAGTAAAAAAAGTATGCGCAAATAAAAAAGCTCACGAAAGTTTTATAAAATGAAACCAAAATTAAGAGGCATGGGGACCATTTCACTTTGTTTACAAATCAAACTTGTCTCTGTAACTCCCTTTCAACTCTGCCATGGTCTAACCAAACTAAGTCCCTACTGCCTCTCAGTCTTCTCATTGTTTTATGCCATGCCTTTTTGTTCTGCAGTCCCAGTGTGTGTACTGCCCTTGCATAGACATTTCTTCCCGCCAAATCCCAACCGTCTTTAAAGCCCCAAACATCGTTATACCCATGAAGCTTTCTTTGAACTCCACAGATAGAAGAAACCTCGTATTTTCCTAAACTGCACAAGTGCAGCAATTTACCTAGGCTTCTTTATAATATTTAACATGTTCTACCTTGCATTTAGTTATAGTAACTTATGCTTTCTATGGTTCCAGGTTTATACATGTGTATCTATTTACATGTATAAACACATGATATATAGAGAGTATAGTCTTTATTTTGTGGTTATTTATTTAAGCTTTAATCTCTAATAATTTTTAAGTTCCTTGTAAACAGACTTGGTGTCAATTTATCTTTGCTCCTTCCATGAGGCCTAGCTCAATATTTTGCAGAGTAGGCGGTCAGTAAATAAAAGAGTATAAAATGAGCTCTCATTGCGTATGTGCTTTGTATACAATTTGCACAATGAAATGAACAAAGCCATATGATAAGCTAAAGTCACTAAGAGGAAGAAATCAATCACATAGATATATATTTGACCCCTCTAATCTTCACTCTATTTTACAGCAATCTTATTGGAGGAAGTGATTTAACAAACTCACAGTTAAGTGTCCTTCATGATGATCTGGGAAATGAATGAATAAGTACTCTGTGGCTACCAGTTGCATTATGGAGTCACCTAAGAATTCCATTCTCTGATTGTGGCCTCTGGAAAAAGAAATATCAAAGTAAAGAAATCAATAACCATTTATGGATTTCAAAAAAAACACCCAGAATTTTTAAAAAGGCATGACTTAAAAAGACAATGTGTTCATTTTGTTTTAAAGCACAAAACCAAATACAATTCCCTAAGGCCCCTCGATTGAGAAGAGATCTGAGTTAATATAGGTTGAGTTTTAAAGAAGAATAAAGTGAATATTATCTAAGCATTAAACGATTGCCAAAATCAAGACTGGTAAACACTGCCTGGTCAGAAGCTGAAGAGCATAAATTGAAAAATCAAGCATAATACAAACAACAGTCTTGAAAGAAAGCAAACAGGTCCAAGAATTTTCTTTGCTAAACTTATTGAAATATATACTCTGGCCGGGTGCAGTGGCTCATGGCTCTAATCCCAGTGCTTTGTGAGGCTGAGGCAGGTGGGTCACTTGAGCCCAGGAGTTTGAGATCAGCCTGGCAACATGAAGAAACCCCATCTCTACAAAAAAAAAAAAAAAAAAAATACATACATACATACATATATATATATAAATTAACCATATGTATATATAAATTAGCCATATATATATAAAAATTAGCCGTGTGTGTGTGTGTGTGTGTGTGTGTGTATATATGAATTAGCCAGGCATGGTAGCACACAGCTACAGTCATAGGGGACAGAGCTATAGTCCCCAGCTACTCAGGAGGCTGAGGCAGGAAGAGTGCTTGAGCCCAGGAGGTCAAGGGCTGCAGTGAGCCGTAATCATGCCACTGCATTCCAGCCTTGGCAACAGAATGAGATCTGTCAGAAAAAAAAGAAAAAGAAAAAGAAAAAGAAATAACATACTCCATTATTCAAAGCTGGAATCCAAATTTAAAAACAAAAAAACTATGATAATCTTTCATCTTTACAGTTTAAAGAGAGTTGGGAATATTTGGTTTGGAAGAGGGGAGTAAAAAAATGAACAAAAAACAACCCCAAAGAAGTAAAATTTTGCTTATTTTCTTAATTGTTTCACTAGCTCACCTTCAAATCACTCATCTACAGCAGGGGTCAGAGAGCCATATCCAGCCCACGGACTGTTTCTAAGGATAAAGTTTTACTGGAACACAGCCATGTTCACTCACTTCCATTTCATCAGTGGCTGCTTTGATGCTACTACGGCAGAGTCAAATCACTGCACACAGGCCACATGGCCCACAAAACCTAAAATATTTAGTATCTGTCCCTGCTGGGAAAAAGTTTATACTTTCTTCACACTTCTCTTGAAACTTCACAGGGAAACCAAGATGCATGACAATGGAACCAACAACACTGGATTGGAGCATAACCCCGGGTCCACACTGGGGTCTGTCTGCTCACCCATCTCGCAGTGTGGCTTTTCTGGAAATATACTGGAAATCCCAATTCCTTCGAAGGGCATGCTCCAAAGGTCTGGGACTGCCTCGTCTAAATGGTCACATTGGGACAACATGAGAACTTTTCACTCACAGGGTCAGATGGTTAAATCCCACAGTTCTCAATGTGAATGCCCTTGCCAGAAGTCGAACATGAGTAAAAATTACTCCAATTGCTTCTTCAAACTCAGTAAGTTTTTGTAGAACTGGAGAAGTTTCAATAAGTTGTCGATCAGTATTTGGCTCTTGTAGCTACAGGAAAATAGAAATAAATAAAAATCATTTTTTTCACTTTTGGTTATAAGTGTAATGATCAATTCTAGGATGGTGTTTTGTAAAATTCCTTCTCCCATAAGCAAAAATTTCTGAAATGCCAATAAAGCATGGAAGTTCCTTTCTCATCTCTTTGAATGGCAAACAAATCTAATATTTAAAGAAGGTTCAAATAATATTTTCCAATCTTCTATCAAATTTCAAGGCCAAGTACTGTACACAGATAGTTCAGAATCCAAGTATTATACTAACTCTCCAAGGAGATGCAAGCTGAAGAACAGCTGGTAGAGAATATATATATCTAGTAAAACAATGGTTCTCAAACTCTAGCATGCATGTTAAATGCAGTCAGCTGGGCCCTGTCCCCAAGGTTACTGATTTCCTATGTCTGGAATCAAGACTGGGAATCCACCTTCCTGACATGTTCCCAGGTGATGCAGATGCTGCTGGTCTGGGTCTGTCCTTCAAAAACTACTGCATTAAAGTAATTTGACTACTGTGTTTTCTAGGGACCAACCTATTTTGGCAATGAGAATCATTAAAACAGAATTCAATGTACACTGGAGATTATTATACCACTAGACAGGTGGTGCTCCAACAATGAGCCTTTAACAACTGGCAGAGAGCAAATATGAAAAGTGTGAATAAAATGAACATTTGCAACAACTTTGGGCAGTCATGTATTAGTAAAACATTTTTAAAGTAATCTGAATTAATGTCATTTCTTACTGTAAAGCCTCTTATGAGAGTTCAACCACTACTAATTATTCTTATATTTATTTTATATACATATATAAAAATATGTATATGAAGATACATATGCATGTTTACATATATGCATATATCCCAAAGTAAAAATAGTAAGAATTCTTAAACCATCTGGGGAAATAGGTGTCATCACCATAAGTAGGGCTTTTAAATTCCAAAATCTTGATTGAAAAGCTATCACATTGTACTCATTTTTAAATTTATAGTAGGTTTTATACATTCTGAATTGAAGCTTTAAATTTCTAAGATCCAGATCAGATTATACTTTAACAATGTTAATTTAGTATTTGTTCTACTTTTTTAGTATCCTCAGATTTGCTTCCATACTATTAACACTTTCCCTGCAATAGCAAGTGTGTAGATACACTGGAGTCAACATTTTACACTTTGAATATCACCTTTTGGTGGTGGTGGGGCATCCATAACTACACAGTAGCTCTTCCTTCCTCGTTGAGGGAGGATGACTCCCAGTGCTCCCCCTACCCCTTTCCGACCACATAAACACAATGCATGGGTTCATTCTACTATTGTTCCAAAGTTTCCCAGGTCTGACACCTCAGCTTAAAGGCATAATGCCACTGAAGAGAATCAAAAGATAAAAGTGGGAGAGGAAAAAAAGGCAAAGGAAAGTAACATGAATAGTTGGAGTCATAAAGCTCACTGCAGACAGGGAGGTCATACTTACTTGGAGTGGGTGGAGAGGATAATTGAGCCAGACTTCGCGCAGGTCCTGGAAAATGGAGTGATGCCTTTAATGCTCAAGGGAGCCATTTAACGCACTCTAGAGTACTAAATAAAATGTCTTTATTTGAAATACTGAACTATTTCAGAAGCTGACTCCACTTATGGCAAATTCAATAGTGCTGGCAAACTAATTTTTTTTTTAAGTGTATTCACCACTCAAACCGCCTGTAGTGACTCTAATTAGCCTATTAAGCTAGGGGGAAAAAGAGCCACCTCTAGTCCCACAAGTCAGACACCTTTTAAAACTAAGTTACACATTTGCTTAACCTAATACACTGCACTAAGCTGTTCTTTTAATCATATTTTTTTCTTACCATTATCCAGAAATGTGCATCAGCTGTGCCTTTTGTAATTAAAAATAATTTCAAATGTCCTTTATTTTAGGCACTAATTCATTATCATCTGAGCTATTTTAAGATGGAGTGGAAAAGGCCCCACATCATCTTCATAAGATCTTATGTTTATGAGATCATGCTTTTACAGCGGGTCACTACAAATCCTCACTTGAACTACTGGAATGAGTGAATTTTATGGAAACGCCTAGTACATTACTTTATCCACTGAGTTAAATCTAGAGGCAGTTATAAGGAGAACTTCCTCAGGATTAAAGTGCTTTTCCTTTAGTTTCAGACTCTAGGGAGCCTCTGACTGAATTTACTTGCCGACCTTGATGTTAGATTTCTGAAATAAATAACAAAAAAATTCTTTAAGAGGAAACTTTTTTTTTTTTTTTAAGAGGGGAAGAAGTATAGGAAAATTTAGTACCACTTGTAACACACAGGGTGATAAAGTAAAATACCTAGTATTTCTTGTACTACTGATATCTTAATAAAATACACTCAGGGTTTTTTAAATATTTTTTAAAAGCATTTAAACGTCAAACTTTCTTTGGGGCACTTTAAAGGACTTCTCTTAACCAATTCAGAAATCTTTCCTTTGAAATCTCTGTAGTGCAAATTATATTGATTGTTCTTACCTTCTTACAACTTTCTCTCAATACTTTTTTTCTTCCTCCTTTTACCCTAAGTGGACATTTATCAAACTTCAGCCCCTTGCCTGACCTATTCATTACCATTTCCACTGGAGAATTCCACTATTTTCAATGCTTTACTACAGTTTGGATTACTCATTCATTTCTGCTGCAGCACTGACGTCTTACCTAAGCTCCCAGTCCATAACTCTAAATATCACATGGGCACCTATTACCCCATATGGAACATGACCAAATGATAACTTTTCGCCTTTCTCCTTAAACTAGAGCAGCTGTTACAGAAGATGGCAGGCTCAGGAGTCAGGCTGCCTGGGTTCAATCCTGATTCCATCTTGGCAAATCACTTAACCTAAGCTTCCATGTCCTCAAGCTTAAGACAAAGAGAATTGTAGGACCTACTCAAGCTGTTCTCTGACGAACACCCTGAGCAATGCACTCAAAGTATTAAACCCAGAGCTGGCCCACAGAAAATACTACTGTTAATAATGATGACAACAACAACAATGATAAACAGCTATCTCTTCCAACCAACCCCAGTCTCCAAGGCTCAAAATTCCCAGGGATCTTGATTCACCCTTCTTCTATCGCCTTCATGTCTTATACTCAAACAAGACTGTGATTTCTCCTTTCATGTCTGCTGCCACCCATCTTGGTGTAATAGCATAACACCCCATGACCAGACTAATGCACCTGTCCATTTCCTCTCTTCTACCCCGTAGACACTGAGATAGGGTTCTGCTGCACCTTGGTGTCAGGGGAAATATATTGAAAAGATCTAGACTGGAACCCCAGTGCTACCATTTATTAGCTCAAGGACCTTAGACAAGGTCTCTACCTTTAGCTGGCTCTTCTGGAAAATATTCTGATCAGGTCATTTGTTCATGCAACATGTTTTTACTGAATATCTAGCCCTGTCCTAAAGGGGCCTAGTGAGAAAGAATGAAGGTAAGTAAATGCAATTTAATACATTGTGGTAAGTCTCATAATAATGAGACAAAAACATGTAAGTGCTAGGAAAACTGCCTGTAGGTGTCAGATAAAGCTTCAAAGAGGAGATGACTCTTCAGATGTGTCCTGAGAATATGAAGATTTTGGCCAATCAGTAGAGAGTGAGAATCAAAAACGGGGCACCAGAAACATACAAATAAGAAGTCTTAAAGTACACAGGCACGAAAAGGTGATTCCTAGTGAATGACACAAAGAGGGATTTAAAAAACAGCTGAGAGTCAGATTATGAAAATTATTAAATGCTATGTTATGTAGTATATAGAGCTTGGGAAGCTGTAACCAAAGATTTTAAGCAAGAAAGGCCATAACCAAATCTGCATATTGAAAAGAAGACAACACTAAATGTGGTATGAATGATGGACTGGAGCAGTGGGAGATAGCAGCTGGTTAAAGAGTTCAAGTAAGAAATGAGGAGGACAAAAATGAAAGCAGTAGGGTAGCAATTCAAGAAATATTAGGGTCACAATTGATAGAATCTTGCAATTGATCAGATAAGAGGAGAAGAAAGCTTAGGGACAAAAATAAATCCTAAGGTTTCTGGTTTAGAAGATAAAAATAAGGAAGGAGGAACATGTTTGGGGGTTAAAAGTGATGGGTTCAATATTACACATGTTGAAATGAGGTATCTGTGGAACACCGATGAGAAGGTGCCCAGGGGCAACTTGAAAAGACACTTTTTCCTATTTCTGGAGCTCCAGAGAAAAGGCCTGAGTCAGAGGTACTGGTACAGATGTGTAAAGAAAAAAGGTGTGGAAAGCAGGGCACAGGAAAAATCACATTAACACCACTCTATCTTTCTAAGCGGGCCATTAACATAATCAAAATGAAACAATGGATCTGAATGTACTGGGTCAAACATGAAGAGTTACACAAAGACCAAAATACACAACCAGCAACACTGGGGCTGAAAGAGTAAAACTCAGTTCAGGGTGAAAAAGAAAAAACCAGTCCTGCTGTTTACAGGGCTGAGCAGACAGACATAGATAAAGCCAGCAGCAAAGTGAACAGGAAACAATGTTTCCCTCAAGGTCTTGCAGCTGCTGAAAAATGCCATTATGACCCTCTGACTAGGGATCACTGCAGACACTCAATCTCCAAGCTGCCCTTGCCTTGTGACAGCACCCAATCCCAGAGTAATCTCTTGCTGCTCCTAAACTGGCCACAGCCAAGAACCTCCTGAGAATTATTCAGCACCAGCCCAGGCCTCACAAAGGATGTCTCTCTCCACCCCAATAACACAGCCAATCCACCTGACTTTGTTGCCTACAGGTTTGTCCCTGGCTGTCTTTGGCTGATTAGGCTTTCATGACGCCTTATTCAAAAAAGAAGTACATTGGTTCACTAACATCTCTCACATGCTACAACTAATAGGTGGAAACCAAAATGGAGATGTCAAATGAGTTAGTGTCCAAGTTTGTGTACTTCAAAATGCTAGAGGAAAACCCATACATTTTGAGCCTTGTACAGTTTCACAAAAGACATACTAAAACAAATTCTGAATCTCAATCACCCCATTTGTAAGATAATATTCAGACTCTGCTTTTAATCCAGTCATTTACTCACTTCACTCTTTTAACAAATACGTATTAAACGCTGCACATGCCAGCACTGCACTAGGTACTGGAAACACAAGATAAGCTCACTAAGTAGACAACTGGGAGAGAGGCAGTTTAAAGAGAAAAGAATCTAAACACCGACTGAAGCAATTAAAGACGACAAGTAGAAAACTGCAGCAAAACAAAACAACAGAGCACAGTGGACTGGGGATGCAGGTAAGATGGGAGAAGGGGACAGGGAAGAGGTCGGGGTGGGGGAGGGAGTCTAAAGGGTCTGGGGGACACAGAGGCAAGATGGCAGGAAGGAAAGAGAGCAAAGAGGTTGCTGAAATGACCCACAAAAGGTGAAGGCCAGAACAAAGAAAATTTAAGATTTGAGAAAAGGTCTTAAAACACAAACCATCTGGTACAGATGCAAATCAAGATGCACATGTATTTAGATGTGCAGGACAAAAATGGGGGACACAGAACATCTCTAGATAATCTTCCCATAAGGAGGAAATTCACACATAAAAATCATCACATATCTCTAGAAAAACAAATACAAAAATCAAATTCTCAGATATGAACATTGTCCAGGTCATATTTTCCAAAACTATTGATCCTTTTTTAAAAAAAACTACCCAAAGTAATACAGTAATAACGTCTGACAGCCATTTAAGCTGAAGGTTTCACAGAGGCTTAAAACTGGCTTCCCGTGTTCTTTATTGCTCCATGAGGGCTATTTCATTCAATTATAATGACATTTCAATTTGGAATACAGAGTTGCTTCTCCCTTTAAATGTTAAATTGACTTGTTTTGGTGCAGAAAGCATCCAGAGTGCTCTATTATATGCAGGATTAAAAAGGTATCTCTGGCAATATTAATAGCTTAATATTTAAGTTAACAACAGAAACTATTTTAGAATCTATCATTTTTTCTTAAACTATAATTTGCTTTTTAAAAAAGTACTTTCATATGCTTTATCCATAGCCCTATCAGAAACTCCCTATGAACTGACTTTTAAAAATAAACAAACATTTATCTAGTCTACATAATTTACGTAAAAACAAATCATACACAGAAAAGCCAAAAGGCTATCACTTCAACTAAGCCTGCATGGGGTAGATACCCAATGATTCTAAAATATAAAATCGTAATTAACTTCAAGACACTTCAAAATGAAGTGAAGTCCTATTACATTTGTATCCATATTTAATTTATAAGTGACCATGAGGAAAGACAGGTTTCAGGCGAAAGAAAAACTGCTTGTGTAAAGGTCCACAGAACTTTCCATCTGCAAGAGTTGAATAAGCCATTTTGGTGTACTTGAAATGTTCCATCTATGGTAGATCTGACTATTTTGTTTTCCTATATTCTCTTCAAATTACAAAGACCAGCTGAATAAAATTTTCTGTAATGATACATAACAAAAAAATCGAATGATTCTATAGAAATACCGGATCATTAATCAATAGAAAAAGAGGGAATCCTCCCTAACTCATTTTATGAGGCCAACATCATCCTGATACCAAAGCCTGGCACAGACACAACAAAAAAAGAGAATTTTAGACCAATATCCCTGATGAACACTGATGCAAAAATTCTCAATAAAATACTGGCAAACCAAATCCAGCAGCACATCAAAAAGCTTATCCACCATGATCAAGTGGGCTTCATCCCTGGGATGCAAGGCTGGTTCAACATACACAAATCAATAAACGTAATCCAGCATATAAACAGAACCAAAGACACAAACCACATGATTATCTCAATAGATGCACAAAAGGCCTTTGACAAAATTCAACAGCCCTTCATGCTAAAAACTCTCAATAAATTCAGTATTGACGGAACGTTTCTCAAAATCATAAGAGCTATTTATGACAAACCCACAGCCAATATCATACTGAATGGGCAAAAACTGGAAGCATTCCCTTTGAAAACTGGCATAAGACAGGGATGCCCTCTCTCACCACTCCTATTCAACATAGTGTTGGAAGTTCTGGCTAGGGCAATCAGGCAAGAGAAAGAAATAAAGGGTATTCAGTTAGGAAAAGAAGTCAAATTGTCCATTTGCAGATGACATGATTGTATATTTAGAAAACCCCATCATCTCAGCTCAACTTCTCCTTAAGCTGATAAGCAACTTCAGCAAAGTCTCAGGATACAAAATTAATGTGCAAAAATCACAAGCATTCTTATACACCAGTAACAAACAAACAGAGAGCCAAATCATGAATGAACTTCCATTCACAATTGCTTCAAAGAGAATAAAATACCTAGGAATCCAGCTTGCAAGGGATGTAAAGGACCTCTTCAAGGAGAACTACAAACCACTGCTCAGTGAAATAAAAGAGGACACAAACAAATGGAAGAACATACCATGCTCATGGATAGGAAGAATCAATATCATGAAAATGGCCATACTGCCCAAGGTTATTTATAGATTCAATGCCATCCCCATCAAGCTACCAATGAGTTTCTTCACAGAATTGGAAAAAACTGCTTTAAAGTTCATATGGAACCAAAAAAGAGCCCACATTGCCAAGACAATCCTAAGTCAAAAGAACAAAGCTGGAGGCATCACGCTACCTGACTTCAAACTATACTACAAGGCTACAGTAACCAAAACAGCATGGTAATGGTACCAAAACAGAGATATAGACCAATGGAACAGAACAGAGACCTCAGAAATAATACCACACATCTACTACCATCTGATCTTTGACAAACCTGAGAAAAAACAAGAAATGGGGAAAGGATTCCCTATTTAATAAATGGTGCTGGGAAAATTGGCTAGCCATAAGTAGAAAGCTGAAACTGGATCCTTTCCTTACTCCTTATAAAAAAATTAATTCAAGATGGATTAGAGACTTAAATGTTAGACCTAAAACCATAAAAACCCTAGAAGAAAACCTAGGTAATACCATTCAGGACATAGGCATGGGCAAGGACCTCATGTCTAAAACACCAAAAGCAACAGCAACAAAAGCCAAAATTGACAAATGGGATCTAATTAAACTAAAGAGCTTCTGCACAGCAAAAGAAACCACCATCAGAGTGAACAGGCAACCTACAGAATGGGAAAAAGTTTTTGCAATCTACTCATCTGACAAAGGGCTAATATCCAGAACCTACAAAGAACTCAAACAAATTTACAAGAACAAAACAATCCCATCAAAAAGTGGGCAAAGGATATGAAGACACTTCTCAAAAGAAGACATTTATGCAGCCAACAGACACATGAAAAAATGCTCATCATCACTCGCCATCAGAGAAATGCAAATCAAAACCACAATGAGATACCATCTCACACCAGTAGAATGGCAATCATTAAAAAGTCAGGAAACAACAGGTGCTGGAGAAGATGTGGAGAAATAGGAACACTTTTACACTGTTGGTGGGATTGTAAACTAGTTCAACCATTATGGAAAACAGTATGGCGATTCCTCAAGGATCTAGAACTAGAAGTACCATATGACCCAGCCATCCCATTACTGGGTATATACCCAAAGGATTATAAATCATGCTGCTATAAAGACACATGCACATGTATGTTCACTGTGGCACTATTCACACTAGGAAAGACTTGGAATCAACCCAAATGTCCATCAGTGACAGACTGGATTAAGAAAATGTGGCACATATACACCATGGAATACTATGCAGCCATAAAAAAGGATGAGTTTGTGTCCTTTGTAGGGACATGGATGCAGCTGGAAACCATCATTCTTAGCAAACTATCACAAGAACAGAAAACCAAACACCACATGTTCTCACTCATAGGTGGGAACTGAACAATGAGATCACTTGGACTCGGGAAGGGGAACATCACACACCGGGGCCTATTATGGGGAGGGGGGAAGGGGGAGGGATTGCATTGGGAGTTATACCTGATGTAAATGACGAGTTGATGGGTGCTGACGAGTTGATGGGTGCAGCACACCAACATGGCACAAGTATACATATGTAACAAACCTGCACGTTATGCACATGTACCCTAGAACTTAAAGTATGATAATAATAATAAAAAAAAAAAAAAGAAAGAAATACCGGATCATTAAAGAGCAAGCGTCCAAATAGCTGCTTGGCTTCCTCCAGGCTTCCCTCCAAGTAAACAGCTCCTAGATGAAAAACAGAGAACGCCAAAAGAGAGTCTCCATCAACAGTCAAAGAAAATGACCTATCTCTATAAAAAGCAAAAACGCAAGCCAAAAACCACTCACAGAAAACAAATCAACATGTTCAGAAGCAATTGTCTTAAAGGTGACATATTTCCTCTTTTTGCTATGCTTTGTGTTACAAATTAGACTGAAATAATACGAAATTCAATTTACTAAAATCTAAATCTAATATTGTAAGTAAAAGAGGCCAAATATTAACTATCATGAAGGGTAAAGGTATAAACCTTACTAAGGGAACAATGCACAAATACTGGACTTTAGTAAAGAAAATGTTCAGTTTTATTTTATGTATTTATAGTTTACGTTTCCAATCAAATATATATAAATACCTAAGGGGAAAAAAAAAACCTAATAGACAAAACCTGAGTCTAGATCAATGAAGACATCTGCAAATAAAATATCAGAGGTAGCTTTACCTTTAATTTGGAAGCATTGGGCACACACACTCATGAATCATAACCAGGAAGTACTATGGTAACATTTTAACTGGTATCAATTACAATGGAGTAGTCATATTTTCTTGAAATCAAGTGTTTACACTTGTCTTCAGAAAGGCTGCTTTTCCATGTAAAATGTTAAGGCACTTAGTTACCAGGGCTTTTGACAACTAAAGACATTTATTATTTATTGACAGTTGTAACAATGATAGTCAGAGTACAGTGGTAGTAACTGTTGTGGTTGGGGAACCACTTATGTCCTGGGTACCATGCAAAGCATTTCCACATTCTTATCTTCACTAGCATGGGGTACCTCAGTCGGAGGATGTTAGAAAAGACTTAGAGGATTTAAGCTTATATTGATTGATTTGGGGGGACAGCTTAAGGAAGTAGAACTTTGCTCTGGATTGGATGCTGCCAGAATCAGATATTAAGATCATTACGACAGCTCTGCAAGGTAAGTGACACCATCTCCATCTCACAATCTCACAGATGAGGAAACTGAGGATCAAAGAGATTAGGTAGCTTGCCAAAGACAGATCTGATAAATGATGGAACAGGAAATTGAATCATGTCTGACTGGTTCTGGAGGCAATGGTAACACCAACTGTCAAAAATATTATGTGTATAGAGCAAAGTAATTCCATGCGACAAATTCTTTGAAAATAGACATATTTGTGAAAAACAGACATAGCTGTGAAAAGACTGTGGATAATTATTAAACATTCTCTTGCCACTATCATAAGCATGAAACTACAATGAGAAGCTTTTATATTCATTTTCAAAGGAAGAGGGCAAAAATGATAAGAACAAAGCCCTTTGAAAGCTAAAATGTACTTGATCATTTACCTTAAAAAAAAAAATCAAATTGTCATTCTACTGTAACATTTCACTGTAAAGCAAACATACTTGCAATCACCAGCTAATTAACTCTTCATAACTTTCCTGTACCAATGGCTAATTCTGGTTACAGTCAAAAAGAAGCCAAGGAAGTAAAGTGCCTGAGTGAGGAGTGAAATGTCAACATCAGTCTTGCTTCAAGTGAATCAGTAACAGTTATACAGACTCAAACCCTGGGTAGGGTTTTAAAAATGTGGTGTTTTCAAGATGTTTAAAACAGAAATATTACGAATAGTTTAATCAAAAGCAACAATGGAGTCTCTCAGCAACCTAATCTGTTCGTTTATGTATGTGATCCTGACTCAAATCTGGAAAGTAATCCATCTCCATATTAATTCACCTCATTTCAATTCATGAAATGCGAAGCATCTACATGACATCAAGACACCAATTCAGGCAGTAAGAATGGAAAAAAAAAAAAGAGGCATGTTCACTGCTCTGAAGGAACTGAAATAACTATAAGGTGGTAGGTGTCATACTAGGAACGTCCTGTACTTTGGGAACAAGTAATTCTGTCCCAAGTTTCCACACAAAATTTTATGTGCTCTCCAGACTGTTTAGACATGCAAGAAAGTAGACTATGAAGAGAGAAATTACCTATTAATGCTTCAAAACAATTGGCCATTGCATGTCGAAGGTCCGATTCTCTACAAAGGTCAGGCCCGTGAGCATACAGCATAAATCGATCCAGTTCAAGTTTCTACAAAATTCACAATGACAAAATGTAAGAAAGTTTGCCAAAATCTTAACTATAGGAACTCCCCATCTCTTGCAGAGGGTTGGTGTGGAAACGAGATGGGGGCAGGGGAATGGTTACAAATCCATACGAGTATATTAAGAGACAGTTTAGTTTAACATGCATTAGAAGTCCTATAAATACAGCTCAGTTTTCACCAACTCAATTCTTTCCCAAACAGGCTTCTACAACCTCCAATAGTTCAAGCAGGGTTCAGAATTGATCAGATCTGAACTTTCCAATTCCAAGTTCAGACCAAGCACTAGCCCAGGCTGGAATAAGACTCTGCTATGAGACCATAATCCCCTGGGTTCATCCAATATGCCTATGGAGAGAATTACAAACCTAACACAAACTTCTAAAGGTCAGTTTTACGTCTTTGACTCAAGTCATGTGGTACTGACAATGTCAGCACCATAAAAAACAGATTTTTTTTTTTTTTTTTTTTTTTTTGAGACGGAATCTGGCTCTGTCGCCCAGGCTGGAGTGCAGTGGTATGATCTTGGCTCACTGCAACCTCCACCTCCCGGGTTCAAGAGATTCTCCTGCCTCACCTTCTCAAGTAAATGGGACTACAGGCACCCGCCACCACGCCCAGCTAATTTTTGTATTTTTAGTAGAGACAGGGTTTCACCATGTTTGCCAGGCTGGTCTCAAACTCCTGACCTCAGGTGATGCAGTCACCTCAGCCTCGCAAACGGCTGGGATTACAGGCGTGAGTCACCACACCTGGCCCAAAATAGATTTTTATGTGGTAGAGTGAGGATCCTCAGAAGACTTCAAAATGCCTTACACTTCTAAATCTTTATTTTTATTTTTATTTTTTGTGAGGATTTGGGGATCCCGATATCTCTGCACTTGTGTCCCCCTTATGAGGTTTCCATACTCATCTCTCTCTGTGGGTTCAGTGAGACCTTCTGAGCAATGAATTGGATTGATCTTAAGGGCTTTGAAAATAGCACTCGTAGTGCTTTGTGTTTCCTTTTCTGATTTGGCCTCAAAAGAGTTTAGAGCCAAATTTGTAGCCCAGTTCTAGGTGTAGGACTGATGAATATGTCAGTGTGTGCTAACTTTACCTCTGGATTCATTTCACTATCTTACTCGTAATTTTCCTTTACTTTGATCTCTGTAGCTGCTTATTTCTTATCCCATGGCATTACAACACACAAATCAATTCCAGCCTTTTAGAACTAGACACAATGTGAAAGAATATTTTTTATACAACTCCTGAGATTGAATAAATGGAAATCATAATTCTTTCCATAAAAAAGAGACAAACATTGCATAAATATGCAATAAATCCATTTCCTTTACCATGTAATTCAATTCAATAAATACTAAGCAATACCGTGCCACATAACATGGAACAACTCACAAGTCAATGAACAGCCCAGGACAATGTGAGTTCCACCAGTCCTCAGACAAAAGACATAGATTTTGTGTGTCTCAGTATGTATCTTAAATATCCATATTTACTCATAATGGAAAAAGACAAAGACAATAAAAATAAGACATACATGCTGTAGTATTTTGTACTGTTTGAAATCCGTGATTATAAAATATACTCAAATGAGTTTTGACTACCACAAATGCAATAGCAGAAAATATCTTTTTAAAAATTGATCCCAAAGTGCAAGAGTTTATACTAGAATATGTAAATTTCATCTGTTTCACAACTTCACTGGGAAAATCTAATTGTTTGCTGTCTCTGGAGCCCTGCTTGCGAGCAGACTGCAAGCCATATTTTATCTTCTAAACATCTACTGTATTCTGGAGTGCTGCGATGTGAATTTCCTGACTTCTTCTAGTCTCTACTCTATATCCTTATTTTTCCATGTAGGCATTAGTACAACATTTTTTTTTTTTTTTTGAGGCAGAGTCTTGCTCTGTCGCCCAGGCTGGAGTGCAATGGCACGATCTAGGCTCAATGCAAGCTCCACCTCCAGGGTTCACGCCATTCTCCTACCTCAGCCTCCAGAGTAGCTGGGAGTAGCTGGGACTACAGACGCCTGCCACCACGCCAGGCTAATTTTTTTGTATTTTTCAGCAGGGACAAGGTTTCACCATGTTGGCCAGGATGGTCTCGATCTCCCGACCTCGTGATCCACCTGCCTCAGCCTCCCAAACTGCTGGGATTACAGGCGTGAGCCACCGCGCCTGGCATCAGTACAACTTTTAAAAAGAATAGAGTGGTATACTACTGTTTATGTGTTAAAATGTTCATTAGTCTGGAAGGTGACCTAGAGCTTTCATTAGATTCTCAAAGGGGGTCAACAATTCTCCATCAATTCCCTCCCCTCCCAAATGGTTAAGGACTACTGGTCTAGACAGAAAAAAGGTGGGACTGCCGCAGGCTTCTGCTGCAGCCAATGGGTGTTGAGTACTATGGCAATGGCAAGTCTTGGGCTTGGTGGAAGAAGACCACATAGAAACCCCTGAAGGGGGAAACTAGCCACCTCTGTCATTAGTCATGGCTTTGTACAGCACCCAATGGGTTATATAATAGCTTCTGTTTCGTGCTACGGCAATTCCCTACACTTCGTAAATATTCTCCCTATAAGTGTTTGAAAAATAATTATGCCATTCCATTACATCCTAAACTAAAAACAATAAGGAAAGGAGTGACAACCTACTTATTAATATGTATTTCCAGTGGCATTTACGTGAATGATCAGGAAGCACTGTGACAATTAAATCAACCAATCACTTAAGCAGTTTTACATAGAGTTGTGAAATTTCATTCATTGTGAGCCTGCCAAAACCAAGTTAGCTTACCTGGTTGCTTACAGGTTTTCATTAAGACATCAGTATTTACTTTCTCAAATGCCACCAAAACCAGTTCCAAGCCTACCACTGTAGCTACAATGATGATGTTATCACATAAAATAAAACTGTGTTATTGCTAACACATAAGCTAAAATTAACCACATTTTTAATATAATTAATGCCTTGGCAAGATCAAATTAAGAAACCAGTCATAAACCTAGGATGAGCTTTACTCTTTCTATCAAAATCAAACTTTTATAACAAAATGAAGAAAAGACACAAATTAGGCAAAACCCGCAAAAGTTTTTCCAGTGGCTCCTCAGTGTTTGGGGATTTAAGAGCCACCACTCTACCTACTATTAAATAAACCCAAAGGTCTACAAAAATGTAAGGATTTATCACAAGAACATGGGTAGCATCAATAAAAACAGCCCCTACAAAATTATTAACATCTTTGTGTAATTACTATAAATAAGTATTATGCCTAGCACTTTATAAATGATGTCATTAAAGCTCATAATCTCATTTAATTCTCACAACCAGGCTGTGTGCCAAGGGCTAATGTCATTTCCGTTTTACAGATGAGAAAGCAGAGGCTTGGAGAAGAGAACAACAATTTGTCAATTTGTCCATAGCCACCTGTTTGTAAGAGGAGTGTGGACTGGAACCCTGATGAGTCAGTGCAAGTGTCCATGTGCTTATCAGCTATGATTTATTCTAATAAGACATCATATGGAGATGGAAACATCAAATCAGATCACGTTTATTTGAATTATAAAAAGGTTCTGTTAGTTACTGAGCTAAGTCAATGAGGCTAGGGGAACAGCCTAAGCCCTAAATCTTAATAGGATTTGTGATTTGGGGGATTCTCAAAGGTGTAGAAAGTACCCCTAGTGGGTAAAAAATGGTCTGTAATCTTCTGTTCAAAACTATCATTCGGCTTGTTAACGTAAATTAGAAACAAATGTACTACAGAAATATTACACAAAGGGAAAATACAGCATATTTCATTTCTTTTGCTTTGTTCCCATGTTCCTTTTCCTCAAATGTTTAACTCAGTTCATGCACATCTGTCAAATTTTTCTTCATCTGTTCTCAAGTTACCTCACTGTGGAGTTCATTAGCTGCTGGTGAAACTCACAAAGGTAACAAAACTAGTAAGACTGGATCCTTAAAACCCAACAAAAAATACTTCCTGGTCTGTAAAATATTAACACCCCTAATATATCCTAAAGAGTTACTTATTCAAATGCAAAATTATGCATGGGCCGCAGAAGAGCATGTCAGACATAACTACAAATGCTGCAGATGTTTTCTGTACCTTTGCTAGCATGGCAAGGTGCTGATTCTGAACAATGGCAGTTCGATAGGTTGCTAATCCTCCTTCTTCCAGACTAGGAAACAAATAGTACAAATGGACACTACAAAAAAAAAAAAAAAAGGAAGTACATGAATAAATATGCATCACAACATTCTGTCTGTGGTTCTGAGTCACAGAAACAGGGCTGGCACACAGTATCTGTGCAATGGATATCAGCTGAATCAAACTAAAGGATCTGATTAAAGTCTTTAAAAGTTAAATGGTAAGATCAATATATTTGAATGTGCTTAAACCTAGAAGGCACCATTCACTCATATTTTCACATTTATTTCTGTTAAAAGGTTTCTCTGAAATCTGTTCTCTGATGACAACAAAGAGCAGAATAATCAATTACACACTCTAGGAGTAAACACATTTAATACTAAAACTTGGGAGTGAAACAAATGCTTTTCCTTGGGCTATGTGTGGCCCCTGGAGAGAGGAGTCCCTTCTCCTGATTATGTCCATCTTGTGAAAAGAAATAACCTAAAGAGAAAAAAAACATCTCAAGAGAGTTCCAAGAGAAGCATGTATTGTCTCCCTTTAAAGGAGAAATTGTGTCAGTATAGAAAAGCAACACACACTTTCCTGCCCCTATTTCGTTTCTTTTTTTTGAGACAAGAGTCTCACTCTGTAACCCAGGCTAAAGTGTTGTGGCACAATCTCAGCTCAATGCAACCTTCACCTCTCAGGTTCAAGCGATTCTCCTGCCTCAGCCTCTCAGGTAGCTGGGACTACAGGCACGCACCACCACACCTGGCTAATTTTTGTATTTTCAGTAGAGATGGGGTTTCGTCATGTTGGCCAGGCTGGTCTTGAACTCCTCAGGTGATCCACCCGCCTTGGCCTCCCAAAGTGCTGGGATTACAGGCGTGAGTCAGTGTGCCTGGCGTCCTACCCCTACTTTCAAATTAAGGATCCTAAAACACTTCTGGAGAGAAACACACACACACACACACACACATATACACACACAAATCTGGTCATTAAAATTACTTGTAAGCTTTACTTCCCTTGAGATCAGAAAGAGTAAGAAAGGGATCAAAGACAAATCCTAGAAGTTGAAATGACATTTTAAAATATCACCCCTTTCTTTACAAATTGAATATAAGCTCTGAAGCATCTAGACCAAGACAAGCTGATCTCTTGTGGCTGTAAGCAACTTTAACATATACTTGACAGGACAGAGACACCAGCCTTTCATCTTGTAATCTCACTCATTACAGCATCAGTGAGTGCGAGTTGTCAGGGCAAGAGCCACAGACGTGTGGCTTTTGAGCTCTACAAAACAGATAAAATACATGGTGTATCAATGCCTTATTTGGCTAATTACAAAGAAAGCAATGTAATAAGTATGTTACCTATAAAATGTAATTATTGAGGAATTGTAAAAAACAAAAAAGCCTAATTACCTGGTCAGAAATTCAACAACAGCATCACCCAGGAATTCCAACCGCTCATTGTGGTTAATCCTACAATGGGAATTAAGAAGATTACTTAATATAGCATACTAACACTCTCCCCCACCCCCGCAAGAAAAGAGCACATGAGGGTTAGCTCCTTTAATAATCAAACCACCTTCCCTATTCCTCATAATTAAGAGCACAGACCACCATCTTAGCCCAGAGGCACCTGGCACCTGCCTGATGGGAAGGAGGGGTGCATTCCTTCACACCACGTGGGTCAGGCTTTCTACCAGGGGGCTTCCTTCCCCTGGGAACCAGACTTAAAGCATCCAGAGCCTTCAAAGTGGTATCTCACTAACAATCGTGAGTATTTCCTTACTACTATCAGGTAGAAGACAGAAGAATACCTTCAGTGGATTTTCTGACCACTGAAAAATTCGTTTTGATACAATGTCCTAAAGCCAGTTCCACATCACTCCAACTCTACACTCAACCTAGCATCTGAAGTCCTTCAAAATAAGTGTAATCTACGTTTTTAGCCTCATTACCCACTCCTATCCTATCCTATCTACTCATCGGGCCCTGCTCCAAAACCCCTGCCATTCTCTGAAAGAGGCATCACCTAAGACACTCAGTGTGCCTCTTCAGGCCAAGCTCCCTGCCACCCCAGAGCCTTCTACTCTCTCCCATACAATGAGCCACGCTGAAAATCTACTCACCCTCAAGGCCCAGCAAAAATGTTATCTTCTTTATGAAGCCCTGCCCGATGCCACTCATCAAAATTAATACTTCCCCTTCAGTGCACAGATTACACTTTATTTACACTTTAATTATATAATGAAGTCGTATCTCACAGGCTGTTATTTTCTCACGTTCGCTTACAAGGCGGAAAGGACCAAGAAGGTGGCCCATGGAAAACCTCCTCCTGCGTCTCAGTGAAGCCAATGGAGCACCTCCTCTCAGTACGAACGTGCTTCTCTCACTGCCCCTTTGGTTGAGCACAGACATGACATGAAGTGCTTCAGGTTTTCAGCAGGCCACACTGGCTGCTGCTGTGTAGACAGAGTGCAGGACACAGAAGCACTGAGGGGAGGTTGCAGCAGGTGCAAGGAGACTTTCCCACATGGGAGGCTTAGGCTGGGGAGGCCACAGTGGAGACGAGCGAAACCGTCACATTTGGGATGTATTTTGGAGAAACAGCTGAAAAGAATTGTTGATAGCTGGAGTTGGGATTTGGAAGCTAAGTGAAAGAAAAGAATGAAGGTCAATGTCTAGGCTTTAGCTTAAAGAGTAGCCTGTGAGAAGTGGTGCCATTTACTGTGGAGGGGAGGACCAAAAGGAAAACAGGTTTGGGGTAAAAGCAAGAGGTGCATTTTGGATGTTAACTTTGAAGTGCCCATCAAATATCCAAATGGAAAGATCCGGTAGAGTGCTAGATACTAATCTTCTGCTCATGGGCTAGGACAAAGTTGCTAATGAATCTTTAGAGTTGGTCAATGTTAGACAGAATTTCAGGTGATGAATCATATGACACCACTTGAGAGGATGCAGCCAGAGGGAAAAAACGGTGCCAGGAATGAACCCAGGGAGTGCTGAAGTTGAGAAGTCAAGCAGGAGGGAAGCCAGAAAAGGAGACCTGGCCAGGGAGGTAGGAGGAAAAGGAAGTCAGTATGCTCTCCTCAAGGACAGCATGTTATCCTCCAGCCATAGGGAAGAATGTGTTTCAAGAGAGAAGTGGTGAGCCATGCCCAATGTTGCTTAGACTCAAGTCAGATGAGAACAGACCACTGATTCAGTCCTGTGAAGTCACTGAGGCCCTTGATAGGCTGGCTATATGTGAAGTGGTGGAGACAAACCTGCTTCTGACTACAGTAAGCTGGAGAAATAATAAGTTGTATGGAATTGTATAGTAGCCCTCCCATACCCATGGTTTCACATTCCACAGTTTCAGTTACCCCTGGCCAACCACAGTCTGAAAACATTAAGTGGAAAATTTCAGAAATAAACAATTCATAAGTTTTAAATTGCATGCTGTTCTTTACCACATGGTAAAATCTTGTGCTGTCCCACCCTGTCTCACCTGGGATAATCCCTTTTTCCAGTATCTCTATGCTGTCACTTAATAGCCATGTGGGCTACCAGATCGACTGTCATAGTATCTCACTGCCTATTCAAGTCATCCTTATTTTACTTAATAATGGTCCCAAAGCACAAGAGTCATGATGCTGGCATACTGTTATTTATTTACTTTTTACTGTTATTTTAGGTTCAGGGGTACATGTGCAGGTTTGTTACATAGGTAACCTGCATGTCATGGGGTTTGGCATACAGAAGGCATGTTGTTATAACTCTTCTATTTTATTATTGTTGCTATTAATCTCTTACTGTGCCTAATTTATAATTTAAACTTCATTATAGGTATGTATGTGTAGGAAAAAACACAGTACGTATAGGGTTATGTACTATCTTTGGTTTCATGCATTCACTAGAGGCCTTGGAAGGATAAGGCGGGGGATGACTAAATATGAGGAAGAACCTGAATGTCTGATTCAAGGCTGGCTGCTGAAAGAGAAAATATGAGTCTGGGGATATACACGGGGAGAAAAACCAAAGGGATGCACCGAGGAGGGAAGGAGGACACATAGAGTCCCTGGGGTCTGAGCAAAGACAGCCAAGGACAGGCTTGGGCATGAGCAGAAGCTGGCCTCACTAACTACAGGGGCTTTCTTAAATCTCTCAGACACCAAACCACATCTCCCCAAAAAACTCAACAGCTGCCTGTCGACTCTCAACCTATCTGGCTTTCAAGGCCATTCTTTATCTAGTTTCATCATACCCACCCCTTTTATCTACTTTTAGCAGCAACTTTCAACTCCATGTTGATCAACCTGCACAACTATACCATGCACATACTATCCCCTCTCCTTTCCCTGCTACCTCTCCCAAATCGCACTCATTCCTACAGCCAACTGGGAGGCCGACCCTAAGTACTGGAGCTTCCAGGGGTGCGGGCTAACTCCCACGATCCCACCCCCATTCCCACAGAACTTTAACCCTTATCACTCCATTTACAACAAAATCAGATCATATCTGTATTATTCTGTTTCATGTGTGCCAGTTTAATTTCCATATGTAAAGTATCCCTATAGTTTCCATATATAGTAGAAAATTTAAAATATTTGTAAATTATTCTTAGCTACCAAATCATCTACTTAGAAATTTAAGCCCAACTGCTATCATTTCACTTACTGCATTAGTAAGTTTATTCTTCTACCCTACTATTCCTCCACATTTTGGAATTTTACAGGAAATAAAAGGTAATAGGAAAAATCTGGTAAGTTGTGAACAATGAATAAGTGATTCTTTCTTATTATGAAAGTGAACCCTCCTTTCAATTTATGGCCTTTAATTTATGTGAAAACATCATTTTTGGACAGCAATTACAGGTCAAGCATCCATAATCCAAAATCCAAAGTGTTCCAAAATTTGAAACTCTTGAGTGTCAATATGATGCCACAAGTGGAAAGCCCCACACCTGACCTTATGTGACAGGCTGCAATAAAAACTTTGTCTATACAAAAGTATTAATAATGTTGTATAAAATTACCTTCAGGCTATGTTAGTCTAAACCCATCTGGTTTTCAAGGCCATTTCAAGGCCATCTTATATATATTTCATATATATAAAATATGTATGAAATATAAGTGAATTTCAGTTATAATTGTGTCCTATCCCCAAGATATCTCACTATGTATATGCAAATATTCCAAAATCCAAAAAAATCTGAAACACTGCTGGTCCCAAGCATTTTGGATAAGGGATACTCAACTGTAATAGCCAATAATGGGAAACGAAAAAGAGAGACAGAGAAAGAGAAAATACATTCATATCTAGCTGACAAATTCATAATCTCATAATTCAGTTAAAAAAAAGGGGGGGGGGGGAGGCCAGGTGTGGCTTATGCCTGTAATCCTAGCACTTTGGGAGACTGAGATGGGAGATTGCTTGAGGCCAGACGTTCAGGACCAGTCTAGGCAACAAAGAAAGACCTTGTCTGTACAAAAAATTAAAAAATTAACCAGGTGCGGTGGCACGTTCCTGTAGTCTCATCTACTCTGGAGGCTGAGGCGGGAGGATCACTTGAGCCTGGGAGGTCAAAGCTGCGGTGAGTTATGATTATACCACTGCACTCCAGCCTGGGTGAGTGGGAGACTATGTCTCAAAAAAAAAAAAAAAAAAAAGCAGTAGGTCCTAAAACAAACTTTTCTTACTTTTACCAAATATATACTAGACTTTAAAGGACTTTTTTTTGTTGCTACTCCATTAGCCAAGAGTGACTCAAAAGTTCCACAGTGGAGTATAACACATTATATTAACAAAAAAAAATTTCAAAACTTTTCAATACTGAGATTTTGCTTTCTGTCAAATACACCAGAACTTCAAAAGCATCTGCCATCATTCTTGGAGAAAGCATCAAGGAATAGAGGCATGATTTAATGGTAAGACGATGTTAACTCCTAAGTCTTCCTGCAATTTCAAGAAACCTATTAAGCTACTGTCCTGGGTAAGGATAGAAATAAGAAAGAAATAGTGAGTTTTAAAAAATAAATTCTTTTTCATGAGCCAGTACAATAAAAATGCATTTTCTGTGGCACAGGCTTTATCTTCTTCCTAATAGTGCAAAGTACTATACAGAAAAATCTTCACATGGAAAGCAAGAAACTGGGGGCAAAGGAGCTGGGGACAAACCATATTTGGATGTCTAATGCATTTTTAAAGAATAATAAGACATTTGGCCAAATATGACAATAAGTCATATTTGGTATATGCTTGAAGTCAAATATTATTTTAAATGAAGTCATACTGGCTTTAAGTTTTACCTTAATTTCTTTTATAAACTTTCATGGAGACAAAAACTATGTCTAGGGTTTTAATAACCACAAAGTTGAATTATTATTCATTTTGTTGAAATACAAGGTCATGGTTCTAACCAGGTTTATTCAATAGAGAGTCTGCCATTTATTAAATATCCAACATATGTTTTTCTGTATCTACATTATGACTAA